TTTCGTGCTCTATAGAACAGTGATTAGGTTCAGAGCACCGAGTATTTGAAGGTTCTCGTAGACAGTGCACTGAAAACCAGATGCGGTTGGACCGCCTCATTGAGGTTTCACATTGCGTGATGAATTTCAAATGTCTGTTAGCACGGGTGACTCAGCTACCTAAGCAGACTCCTTCTGAGTGCATGCGTTACAGTCTTTTGTAATAGATGGTGATCAATTACGTATGCTGATGCCCACTGCTGCTCATCAGCATGTTATCAGTAAGGAGTTAGAACCATTAACCGGCCTCGTTCATCTTGCAGCAAGCACTTAGTGACAACATTGAGCACAGGAGAGACAGAGGCTGACAACCGCATAACTCATCCTGCATGCTGGACATACGGACTGAAACTTATTGCAGAGGTCAATGGAACATTGTCAGTCAACGAAGCACAAGATTCCTTTAACGCTAATACTCACTTCTTCACTTCGTTTTCATATTAGAAAATCCTTTTGAGGACGGTTTCTGCACGTCTGCGGCAATTGGCGATATTTGCTTATCGAGATGCTTGTCCATGAGGTAGATACTAAAGTCAAGCTATTCGCAGGGGCAGTCAATAATACGTGAACCCAGGAAAAACAGCCAGAACGTAAGATTGGAGTTCCTTCTAAACAGTTACAAAAACTAAGGGCTTTACACTTCTATTCAGGCTTCACAGAATGTTGATAAAATATGAAAACCTGAGGATTCTTGGTCCCAATAAAGAAGAGACTGAGATCATGAAATGTCTTAAACCAGTAAATGAAAAAACGCGATTTCTAAAAGCCCGGTGTAACACGCAACGAAACTCACCCACTACATCTCATTACACTTGAGGGTGTTCTTATCGATACCTCTGCAGCTGTAACTTTAAAAAACTATTTTCCCGATTCTTTTACTACTCTGGACGATATACTTTGTGACCACCCCACACAGTACTATACGTCATGTATCTCTAACGTAGATATCGACACTGGTTCAATCAAGCGCCAAATTAACGCTTTAAAGACTACATTTCATCCAGGTCCAGATGGAATCCCTGCAGTACTTTGGAATTCCGATGGGAATGATGTCCCCTGCTTACTACTGAACTTGTTTACTTCATCAATGACAACTGGATTTTATCCCGATCAGTAGAAACTGACGATAGTGACACCCCGCTATAAAACCGCGTCTAGACATAACGTTAAACGCTATCGGACCATAAACCATACTACTATAATTTCTAGAATCATAGAGCGCCTAGTTAAAAAGGAAATCGTTAAATTCCTAACATCAGACAACCTTTCGTCACATTTGCAGTACGGATTTCTTCAAAAGCGTTCGAGTGTCACTTGTTAGCTTGATTTCTTCGATCACTTAACGAAATCAACAGACTCTGTATGATACTTTACTTGGACCTTCAAAATGCCTTCGACAGAGTTTCACACAGAACGCTTATACATAAACTTCGCTTTTGTGGAATTGAAGACTCATTACTATCCTGGTTGGAAGCATACCTCACTGGTCGAAAGCAGCGAATAAAGATAGATTAGTATCAGTCGAAAACAAGAGATATTACTAGTGGCGTGCTACAAACAATGTAATTGACCTCTTCATTTTTGCCTATATGTAAATGGTCTTTTCCCCCCAACAAGGCATGGTAAACCTTATTTGTTTGCAGATGATTTAAAAAACTTGTGTGCCGCTGATTCTCAATCTCTGTCGTTTGTATTTACGATCCAAACTGATAAAGCTTCACTGGAAGACTAGCGTGTCGGATCTTCCATGAACTTTTCAAAATCTAAATATAGCATTATGAATGAATGAATGAATGAATGCTTGGTCCGGCCCAAGGTTTGTCTGCTTCGAATCGCGCTCTATTTATACAACTCGATATGTGACTTAGGTCACGATTACTCAGGTTCGTTGAGTTTCAAAGAACAAGCTGAGTATAGGGTTACTAAAACACTACAGACTATTGGAATGATAGGCCGCTTTTTTATAACAATCGAGGTTGAGCTCCTGTCCTTCAAACTGTACGCCAGACCATTATTAACATATGGCATCAACACTTTCGGAAGCATTTGAAGATGCGACACAAGTGCACTCGAGGCTACATAAAGCTCGATTAAAAAAAGAAGCGTGGGCTGCATCTCTAAGCTCACCTATAAGGATAGATGTCATTGGTAAAAATCGAATCGCTGTGACTTCGAATATTAAGTCTATGTCTATTATTCATGTCTATGTCTATTATTCAAAATTGTCCATCGACTGATATATACCATTTACTGTCAGCCAGTATTCCAAGAATCTTCACCATATGATCTAAGGAGCCAAGACTATGTGATAAAACTAACTGGTTGCCGCACACGTCTACGGTACAACCTATTTACACGCAAATATCCCATGCTATGGATAGATTGCCTTAGGCCATCAAAAGTTCATCTCCGCTTCGAACATTTAAGACGCAACTAAAAGAGCACTTAACTGTTAATAGAGTTAAAGAACTGGTTCGTATCAGTTGCACAGACGAATCGGTGTACGAGAAATGGTCTGATAACGTCATAGTACTCGCGAAGTTTGCAATACAAAAGTACAGCTAAAGATGGGTAGAAGGGTTTGTCGACAAAACGCGAAATACAGTGTTACCTCATCGTGAGTTTTCTTGCTAGATAACTTAGCTTTGTCCCACATTCCTTCCTCGTACTTTGTCACATCATTTGGTATTACTCCAACTGACCACCCACCGGTGGTCTATGAAAACCATGATACATCGATAGGTTAGATAAATGAGATATATGTCTGATTTTCTCTTATTCGACACTGTTATCTTCTTCGTGTTACTCAAGTTAGTGACCCGTTATTGATCTATGAAAACATGGGCATATCGATGAGTGGAATAGATGGAATTTAGCTTTGTTTCTTCTTCATCTGCACTTCCTCTTACTGTGCTCTTACTTAGCTTGAAGACCCGCTGATGGCATTTGAAGAACATGTGCACATTCGTGGGTTGCATAGGCAAGCTTTGCTCTTAGCCCTCATTCAGTGCTTCCTTTCCATTACACAGCTAGGTGAAAGGCATGAGTGTCTGCAAGACATTGACTCACTCAAAGGGTGAATTGTTAATGATCGAAGTTAACACACAAAATATGTACCCTTTGCCCTGTGTTAACACATTTTACTTCCCGTATGAGGGAAGTGGTTGGTTCGAAATGATTTGTTTCATAGTGGATGCGGTTCTCAGTTCCACCGTCTGTCGTGTTAGCATGTCTGATCACACACTTTCACTATTTATAAATTATTGTTATATAGCGATAAACATATTGTCACTCACCTCTTACAGTGTTCTTTGTTTGTTTTCTTTTACCAACCATCCGCCAAAAGCTATCTGAACGTTTTACAACTGTCGGGGATTCCGAGGAATTTTGAAACAAAATCACAGGCACAAGAATCAGTGGAATGGGAACCACAAGTGTTTCGGTACGGAGGTTTGTAAAACCATTCTGTATTTCCTTCGCACCCTATGATTGGACCACCTTACCTGGGCCTTGGCTCACATAGTTGAGAATATATCAGTTTATTTAATTTATTTAAGATATTTCAGAACAGTATGTTCTCTCCAGCAATCTGGGAGAACACCTTAGTAATACTAGGTGTTGTTGTTGGGGCGCGATCACAGAAGATCGGACATCCACAGGTAGTTGGCTAGTATCGTGTTTGTAGTTAAGGCTGTCGGTTTCAAATCTTGAATAGCAAGTGCACATTGTGTCAACCAGGCTGGTTATACCATGGACTTGTTCGTGACCCAGGTAAGAGATGACGCGGGTACCGGTTTCGAAGGTACTTGTTTACCGAACGCGGTCGATCCTCGTCATCGTCCGTAAAGCACACTTTCTATCACGGTGTCCGGTTCGGTGAATGTAGCTTAAGATACAAACAATTCAACCTAGGTGCAACCCACCGTGGTGTGCTGTATATTCGTTTCGAGCACGTAGGCCGGTTTTCTATTATCGTCTGACTCTAAATAAGTATTCCAGATCAACGGTTATGGTCATCCATTTTAGAAAGAACTGGCAGCAGCTCTCGGAAAGCAGATACTTGAGCAGCATTTGCAGTTAGAGATAGGAATGTCGTTACACTTGAATAAGCTAACGAGTTAACAAGCCATCCAAGAAGTCCATCTCAACTACGGTGATAAGTTGTACGCTGTCCTTTTGCACCCAGTCATATGAAACAGCGTCCGTTGCAGTGAGATCAATCAGCAAAAGCGCGCGATATAAGGTTAGCGTGCCCCATAACGTTCATCGGGAAGTTATATCTCATTTACTAGGGTCTCATTACCACTGCTGCAAAACTCAGTCTTTCAGGGACAAACGTTTATTCAGCAGTCGTCCGCAAAAATTACCGCATGTTTCGCAAGTCAAACTCCTCGACAAAAATTGCACGTCCAAAGCCATAACTAACGACCCATCTGAGTCGATGAGGTTGCTCGTTTGCTTCAGTTACTCAAATGGTGGATCACCCACACGAATATCGACCAATCCGAGTCCAGTACCCGAATCCGTCACGCCCGACTCCCATTGGCTGTCTGGTCATCTGCTCACTCTGGTCGGATACTACCGTCACAGCCTCTTTCACGGATATTATTTCAGTTCAAAGTTAATTTCGCTCTCTTCCGAACTCTTCATGCAGCAGTAGTAGCAGATGTACAAGAAGACCGATACTTCGTGGCTGACAGCTGATGCATCGACAGCCAGTTTCCCCGACTTTACGGCAAGTGATCTTGACGCGTCAGCCTAGTGTCTCAAACACCGTGAACCAGCAAAGAAGTTCGTCAAGCGCACATGGAAACTGCATTCATTTGGGGTGCCGTTACACGGCGGGCGACTTACTTTACGCGGATAAATTAGGCTCTAAATTGGTCAGATAAAACAAGGTTGCATAGGATCATTCAACTACAGTATCGCTGCTGAGGTAACTGGACGGGAGAATAACTCACCTCGTAGATCACCGTGCCCGGTGGAGTGTCTTCTGCCACACTGGTGTTGTAGGAGGTGGAATCAAACCGCGGTTCGTTGTCATTCATGTCGGCCACTTCGATATCAATATGCAGGCGCGCTTCCATCTGCTTGGGCAACTCACTTGCCTGAGGGACCCAGGCGAGACTCGGACTGTAGGCGACCAGTACGAAGTGATGTCTAGGTTTGGTCTCTGCGTCCAAATCTTCAGTGAGCACAAGTCCGGGAGTTCCCGACGGGCTGATCTCAAGGCGAAATGGAGCGGTGGGATTGATAGAAGGAGAACCCGTGTTCTCCGTGGCCAACTCCAGGCGGTAATGCACGCGGTTGTGTTCCTCCAGCAAATCGGCATCTGTCGCTTTGGGTAGGTCGAGTCGGCGACCTTTGCGGTACAACACCTCGTTGAGGCGTTTGTGCCACCGGATTTGATCGAATTTCGGCCAGTTGTCGTTCAGATCATGCACTTGTACCGCCACTCGATGAGTGGCGCGTAAACTACTATCCTGCAGTAATGCATTTACATCTAAATGGACGTAGACAATGCCGTTTTGAGAGCATGTCACCTTGTCCGTAAAACTGTCGGTGGAGGCGGAATGCTGTTGGCCTTGTGGCTTGACACCTGCATGCAATTAGAATCGCCGGTAGGCACCGAGTAATGAGATATGGTAGTAATTAATGAACTGAATCAAAATGTGTGATGCAGGTGAGTGCTAGGATAATGCAAAAAGGATCCCCATGTTACTCTTGTAGTTACTGGACGTATCATGAGTACAATTTAACTGAGGCTGAGAAACACACCACATCTAATGTGTCGCAATAAGAATGCAGTGAAAGACAACGAGCGTGTTGCGCTTTCTGCAATAGATGTTAAGTAACATACATTACTCATATGTCCCATTGTATTCATTGCACTGGTCGCGGGTTTAAAATATACTCTGCTACGCCCTTCAGCAGCAGCATAGGTATGTATTCTTATATCTGCAAATACTTCTCGTAGGGTAGCTATTGAGTCCCAATCGGAAACCAAGAAGCTGTGGCTACTCGCAGAAGTGTTTGTGGTAAATACCTAGCCCTACACCATGTAATTACACTGATTTTAACGCTCACGGTGGACACTAATTCGCCATTAATGTGAAAACACCTGTCGCTTTGTCGATTAAAATTTCCACAACCGCTTATTTGAAGTGCTCAGTCCCATCGGTCAGACTGAATAAGCCATAAAGTAATTGGTTTTTTTTACCACCGTTCTTCATAAGTATAACTTAAATATCATGACCAAGGGCCGTTAACTTCACGATTTCTGCATCACACAAACTGGGTAGTTCACATTCGACCAAGTTCCGCCGGGAGTAATGTCTAACAGTGGGATTATGGAACCCTTTACCCGTTCAGCTAAAATAACTGTTACTATGTTGCATAAGTTGTCATCAACCGAACTCGAAATTTACCCATAACTCCAACGAAGGAGGCTCAGCCTTTTGGGGCCACCTCACACTGTATATACCAATTTGTAGGTGACTGCGGAAACAGTTACACAGGCAGAACTAATAGAACTCTGACTTCCCGAATAAAGAAGCTTGTACCAAGTTGAATTCAGCGTGAAGTTGCTCGGATTGCCTATCCTCGTCAGCTTCCGTGTTTGCGCCGACGTCCTCGATAGGCAAACACCTATTGGACTCGGGCCACTAAATAAAGCTGGGCCCAGCGTTTAAAGTTGTGTTACGTCACACTGATCCCCGCTTCGTTCGGTTTGCTGAGGCTGTCGCTATAAGCCGGATGAAGCCAGCCTTGTGTGTTCAGAAACAATTATTTGTCAGCCTAAAGCTGCTTTGGACGTAGGTGTGAACTTCCGTCACTCGTTCTGCACCGCAAGCTTGTTTGCTTGCCCCTACTGTTAGCTAATCTATGTATATCGGTTATTGTTAATGGTACTGAGGAGACAATACGCAATGCATGCATCTACCAACCTTCTTTTTTCCGTGCTTTTAAAATAACTGTTATCCGATGTGGACCAATAGTTCCGTTTAGCTGACATAGCCATTCCCGGTATCACATCATTGTTGCCTGCTTCAATGTTCCGTTACAGCCCTGTTACCACACTACAAACTCGTCTAGAGAATTGAAAGAGCGAGTTATCTACCCAACCACCTCTTTCACCGCGCTAAGGCGAACGCCAATCAGCACACTGTGCGCACCAAGAGAATGAGTAAGACCGAGACAGACTGGGGCAGCCGGAACAAAGCCCCTGTGAAGCGCGATGTACCGAGGCTGAGTGAGAGATTGTGTCCGGCAAGTTTTCTGAGCGGGCCGTGGCTACGTTCTTGAGTCACCGCCGTGTTCCACAATGAGGTGGTCCCTGCATCTGTCAGCGAGAAACAAGGCCTATGGGTGGTGGGAATGGTACAATGGCTTTTCTGTCGAAACTGACCTGGTCTATCTTTGTACGCGGATAAGCGAGTTGGGGTTTTAGAGAAAATGTTCCCACTCAGTAAATTTGCTTGCCGTAAGTGAACCCAATTGTAAGTAAGATCAGTGACAATGCTACCCTATGAAATGCCGCTCAGCTTCACGGATTGGTTAATCACAGGTTCGGAAGTAGTCTCTTCGAAGGGACTGATAAACGAACCGGACGATTCTCCATGTTTGACTTACGTGACTAACAACTGTAGTGGTAATCTCGAGGTGGATCAAAGGTTAACTGAGCGAATAATCGAAATATTTAATTGGCAACTGAGGTGTGTTAGATTCGCAGATTGGGATCAGTCTGATGTGAATGGGACCGTAACTCTTGGCACGGTCCATGACTAGATCTCTGTATGTCGCAGTAAGGCGCGAATTGTAGGGTGCATCACTTCGCTCTATCGTTTAACGATGATGCATAATCCAGTAAATTAACGTACACGTATAATCAAGTACAAAATCGGTATCCCTTGTACAAGCGCTAGGAATTTCATATTTGTCGCAAGGTCGGATTAATTCATTTCGGAGACAATAAGAGCACTGCATACGGTAACGTGTCAAAATCCCCTTCCTACGGCTGATGACCGACTGGGATTCAGATGGTCATAACTGTGTACTACTGGTGATCGTGTGGGAGCAATCTAATTTAAGCCTTAACACTTACCTGAAGTCCTATTTACAGGTGTCCGCCGTTTCATTTTCTCTCCACGTAAAGTCCGTAGATAGTATGACAACATTGACCTGAAACTTGCGGATGTCCATTTGACAGCTGCTGTTTTCCAATAGCGTGTATCTGATTTAGTGAGTGCTGAGACTGACGACTACACACTGAGAGGTTTGGACGGTGCGGGGAAACGAGGTGGCCGAAGCACGCGCTCTCCTTTGTATCCCCGTCATGAATGCTGGTCTCTTGATAAGTATTAGCAAGCAGTTAACTTTAGAAATGGTGATCACGTTTGATGGAACAACGTAGAAGTAGCTGATTGGCCTATTGCGATTATAATGCGGAGTTCGCATTTTGCTGCTTGCGGCCACTATGCAAAATTGTTCACTGGGCAACAGGATCCCTAGCATAAACTGTGAGCATGTGTATTGCCTTGTGTCAAAGCATTATCAAACCTGTGACGAAGTAAGCCACAGATGATACAATTGTCATCGACCCACTTTATGCATTTCACACAAACAGCTTGTTGTGGCAATGCCAGTGGAGGAAAAATCACGCAACGCCAATGGATGCATCATCATCATCATCATCATCATCATTATACACCTTAGCTAGAGGTTGGGAACACCTCAGCTACTGTGCCGCAATACATAGAACAAAAAAGGAGAAAAAAAGCAACTGGTGCAAGCTGGCTGAGCTACCGGTAACGGATGGGCATCGTTCCGGTAAGCTATCAGCCGGCTGCTGTGCACCCAAAAAATTATTATTCAAAATTATATAAGGCTAAATAATGAGATCGTGGTTGGAGGGGAGGCTAAGAGGTATGGGGTGGGAAAAGGAAACTCACAGCACGAACGCCACTGAGGTCGGCTCCTAGCCATATCAGCAAGTGTGTCCAACCAAACGTGTTCATCGTCTTTCGGACCCCAACCAGGGAGCCGAGACGCTCCAACCGAGGCCAGCTCAGAAGTGAGGGACTTCATTCCTCTGGACCAAGTCATCGCTTGGCCACCCCTCCTCTTCTTCCATCCACACCCTCGGCGCGCAAACAACACAAGTCGCGGGAGTCGGTGGGCTGGCATGCGTAACACGTGGCTGAGCCATCGGAGCCTGATGCGTGAAATGACGGTGCTGAGCGGTTCGTTTCCTTTTCTTGTGCCATAAACAAGGCGTCGAACACGCTGGTAGCTCTCGCGGTGTTCCCACCAGATGTGAGCTAAATTACGAAAGCACCGGTGGTCGAACGTAACTAGCCTCTTCAGATCCGATGCTTTAAGCGGCCAGGTTTCACAACCGTACAGTAGGGTCGAACGTACTGCTTCATTGTACACTCTACCCTTCAGAGCAAGAGTGATGTCGCGCCGGCGCCATAAGTGACGAAGGTTAGCAAAAGCGCCCCGAGCTTTTGCTATACGATTCGTGATTTCATCTTCAATCCCACGGGCGCTGATACAACTTCCCAGGTAGTTGAATTTTTGAACGACTTCTAGCTGATCCCCACCAAGGGTCAGCGCAGGAGGCGGTCCAGACCAATCTTGGAGGGACGCTTTGCACTTCGAGGGTGCGAAGCAAAACCCGAAGCGGCTGACAGCCAGTGCTAAGCTGGCCACTGCCGGTTGGCACGTTTGTGAGCTGTCACAGATTAGGACAATGTCATCAGCATACTCCAAGTCAAGAAGTCGTTCTCCTGGGAGTAGCTCCACACCTTCTAAGTCGTGTTCTGTGAACGCGATTTCCATGACTTCGTCAACAGCGAAGTTGAAGAGGAAAGGTGACAGCGGGCATCCTTGTCTCACGCCGCTGGAGATATTAAAGGGCGACGACAACTTGCCGTAAGCCCTCACTCTGCCCGAGCTACGCGCATATAATGCTCGGATAATATTCACATATTTCTCTATGGATGTGTGCATGTGCAATTCTGTAACTATGGTTGCCAGTTGATTGTGCATGAAATCGGTTCACTTGTATCAACGGGAAGCCGCTTTACCCCTGTACGTGGGACAGCGACAACCAGAGTAGTATGCGACAGAGGCAGTGAAGTTGATGACAGAATTTGGACTTCCACGTCACTCATCGTCAATATTTTTCAGAACTTCTGAGGTGACGATGGAGACGTAGTGTGCATTGTTACCTTCACTCCATATACACTGGTGAACACCGCTCAAAGGATGATTGTGTGGAACCAAGGGAACCAAAACAGTGTGTACGGCCTTTGCACGCGCGGACGCTAGGGCTGAAAGCACTGGGTTAGACATGGTGGTCAGTGTAACACAATAGGTGAAATATCTTGAAATGGAACGGTTGCTGTTTGAACTGGGATGGAAACAGCACAATTTTACTTGTTCGAGCCAACTGATGAAACTTAGGCGGGCTGCCCCCGGAGTGTGCTTGCAGGATGTGAAGCAACTGTAAGCTGGTCATAAATGAGATCCTTCACTCTGGTTTCATACTATGTAGTTCATCTGGGTCATTCTGTGAAAGAGCACTGACCAGTG